TTGAGGCCATCCTTTTTTTGACCAACTCTTGTACTATAAATTCGATTTAGTGACTACAATGGTCACTTTCTAGAATCCCTATATCGACCAATTCTAATTTCCATCGGGACACATGTCAATGACTTTACTTGATGTCATGGCCATCACTTGTTTTAACCAAACTTTAGCCTTCAAGGTGAATGGGGCAAACCTCAAAATCCAAGAGAATAGGGTTTCTAAAGCTTATGGATGCTTGGTCAATCACTCGTGGAGAAGGGTAGAAATATCTTGTGATGAGAAGATTGACTTCTATTTGTTATGTATTTACAAATATATCATTGGCTTGAAGTCAAAAAAGTCAATTAAAGCCTTTATCCATTAGGCTATCAACTTAGCTTCACTTGATGGGATAAGTCGAGTCGCTATGGGTCCAATCCTTTTTGCCTACACTTATGCAAAACTTCATGATGCATTGACCAACAAGCTCAAGACTTTATCTTATCCCCTTTGGTTTTTTCAGATATGAAGAGGGTTTTACTTTCTAACTTTAGATCGACCTCGATCTACTAAATAAGATTGGATAGCTATGATCACTCTCTTATGCATGAGGTATCGTATTAACCTCTAACCTTTCAAGTGTTTTGAGTTACTTCATTGACCTTGAACGTAGACGAGATGCATTAGAAGACCGGATGTTATTTCATGCACATAATTGTAGGTCGCTATGGCTTTGCTCAAACAAATTACTCCAAAAGGTATAATTTTCTACTAGCAAATAATCAATTTGGAGTGTAATCTTAGTAAGCCAAAACTTGACTTACTCTCTTAGAGACTTGATATTGCTAAAGCCTATATTCCCAACCTCTATGCTCGATAATTTTGATTAATCCAAATGGTGGTAAGACCATTGATTTCGACCATCAATCTGCCATGGAATAAAAGGGAAGACATTTGAGATTCTCTAAAGCGACTAACTAAAAGTGAACCGATGGCTTATGCCAATGTGTAGAACATTAACGGCTATCATCTAAATATTAAAGTGACTTCTTCTTTCACTACGATGTGGTTGATATTTTAGGACAATAACTTCTCCGTGGCAGTACAAACAAAAAATATTCTAAGATATTGGTAGAATATCTATAGGGAAAAGATCGCCATCAACTAAAACTAAGCCTAGCTGAAAAAGCTCGTACATCTTTCAACTTTTTTGTTGTCATTAGATTTTTATAAACTATTTTCTAACTTGATTTTTTTTTAAATAGCCCCGATGAAGAACGACAATACAAAGAAAAAGAAAATTACTTTGCCTCCTTTTTCTTCGGATGATTTAACGAAAAGGAGTTTTCTCAAAAAGTACATCTATCGAGTAAAGAACACCGTGATAATGGTTTTAAAACTTACCGATCAACCAACAAAGAGAACTCTAATCGTGTTTTTGAAACCTAATGGTTTGATAGGCCTAAAGATTAAGAAGATTTCTTCTATTTCTTCTCCTTCCTCTATGCAAAAGGGTAAGAACCCACTCGGATGTTTAGTCCCTTCATATAGTACCTCCGAATCCTAGAAATTTATCTCCGGAAGAACAAAATGAGGTGATAGTACCGTAGGCGGTAATAATTTCCACTCGAAAATCTTAATATTGAAATCTTTGTGTACGTTTTAGACATAAAAAAATTTATGCTTTTAATATAGTTAAGGAGATCGAAAAAAGATTTTCATCAAAAAATTCCATCTCTTCAAGAAATCCTTAGCCAAACCTTAAAACCAAAGAATAAGGTCTCCGAAGTTAATTTATTTCTATAATCGTGCCATTTAACTAAACCCATACTAGACTAAGTAATTTTTTTTAATATTCTTTTTTGAAAATTATATTCACTATGAAATCCAATAAAACTCACTTTATTTGACTATCTTATAAGAACTAGAGCCTCTGTCGACTTTCCTTCTCGAGAGGGATTCAAGAGTTGAGGTTCATCCGTTCAAATAGGTATATAAAAACTTCTTGATGACTTTTTCTTTTAATTTTTTTTTATTAACTTATGTCGATCATTGTTCAATTTTTACCTTTTGACGAGTATTATCACTTAAAGAGTAGCCAATGTATGTTGAAGAATTAATGCTAAATCAATCACAAGGCAAAGTTTTAGTAACTAACATAGTAAAGGACAATTTTGAATAGATACTAGCTAGTAAAATGCTAGTGGCTATAACATATAAAAGACCTAAAGCTCTAATTATAGTATCGAGTCTTCTAGAACTTCGGTTCATGTGATCCAACCACTAACTTAATCTTCTATCAAGTGCTACCTATAAAAAATTTGGCAAGACATACCGAAGAAATTGGCTCTTAAGATTAATCTCCCATCATAGCGACAATGAGGATGAAAGCTTGATGAATGACTCGAATCATAATCCTAGCATGGAAGTTAGTCTAAAATCAAATCTTTCATCGAGGCTCCTAGTGCCAATAAAGATCCCTATTCAACCAAGCACTACTTTAAATTAGCAAATTCAAATTGTGTCTCAATTGATTGCAATAGGACCTCTTAGGATTATGGAGACCCAATTTTTTACATTTGGTGAGTTTGTCGATCTTTTCAATTTCTTTCTAACTCTCTCTTTGGATGAATATGAATAAAATCTATTCGAGGCATGAATAAGATCTATTCGAGGCATCAAAGAATATGATCGTTGAAGTGTTAAAGGAAGAAAAAGAGATACAAGGCTCGCTTGAAGAAAATAGGCAAGTCTTCATAAAAGGGACTCCAACCAAAACTGCTACGATTTTGAACAAGGAACAAATTGACTTAGGGTAAAGTAAAACCCAACTAGACAAAAAGATCAAAAAAGTAGAATAACGATTAGTGTGATTGAAGTCTACTTGAGTCGCTTTTGATTCCTAGATTGCTCAAGTCAATGATGATTTAATTAGATGGTAGAACTTGATTTTGCTCACCGACAAGAACGTAATCGATCAAATCTTGTTAGAGCACTTGCAACCTTTTTAGATATTCTTAGGATTAGGATACCTAAGAAGTAATTTTCTACAAAAACTTTAATTTATTCAAATAAAGAAGCATTTTTACTTCATCTTCAAATTACTTAGTTATTTTCAGTTTAGATTTAATTTTAAGACTCTTTTGTAAGCTTTCTAACTTATTTGCATTCCCGTAATAAACTTCTTTTATTCAAAAAGGACCTTTCCAATTAGGGGACCATTTGCTAAAAAGATAGTATTTTTTTTCAATTAGAAGTATAACTTTCGAAACTAAATCTCCAATCGAAAATTTTTTGCTTTTAACCTTTCAATTATAAGTTCATGTCATCCTCTCGTTTTTGCATATGAATCCTATTAAGTGCCTTGATTTTTTTCAAATCAAGAGATTATATTTCAAAAAACATAGCATCTACGTAATATATTCTAGACATCTCATTTTATCTCGCTACTCTTAAAGATGGAGCTACAATCTTAAATGATAGTACCGCATTGTGTCCATAAGTTTGTCGACATGGACTTGTTCCAATACTTGCTCACACCAATTCGATGAGCCCATAGAGTGTTTTGTAACAAGTCATGCTAATTTTGAGGATTATTACTAATCATTTTATGGTTGTTTTCCTTAATGATTTTATTCAATGCTTCTACCTACCCATTAACTTGAGCATAATATAGCGTCAAATTGTTTATATTAAAATCCAATTTCCTTGCAAACTCTCGAATTTCGACTCCATTAAACACTAGGGCCTAATTGACGGTAATTATTTATGGCAAATCAAATCTATAAATAATATTTTCTTGGATAAAACGAATAACATCATTCCGATTAACCGATCGTATAGGTTTTGCTTTTACCCATTTAGTAAAATAGTCGATGGTTACTATCATATACGAATGGGATGTACTCAATGATGGGTTGATTTCTTTAATTAAATCCATTGCCCATTCTCAAAATGGTTATGGTTTAACTATTTAATGTAACTTAGATGCGAGTACTCTAGGAATATTATCATGTTTTTGGCATCTATCGCATCCTTTTGTCATTTCAATACAATCTTTTCCCATATGTGGCTAAAAGAAACCATGACGTCAAATTATCTAACTCATTTTATCCACTACCCGATGCAATCTACAAAGTCCAAAATGAATTTCCGCCATTATTCTTAAGGTCTCATCCGTATTGACACATCGGAGTAGGATTTCATCGGCGTTTTTCTTAAACAACTCATCTTCTTGAAGTACATAATTCCTCATTAAATATTTTATATAAGAAGTACGACCCACTAACTTCGGATTCATTAAGGCTTGAATGATTTCATCCCTCTAATCGAAATTAATCGAAGAATAAAAATTATGCCAACTTTCACTACATCTTTCCTTTGATCAAAATCCAAAAGAATTTTGTCTTCAAGAGTAATTATAAGTATAAAAAAATTCTAATGAATGTCAAGATGACACAAAAGCCTAGACTAATGGCTAGAGTGTCAAAGTCCATATGGCATTGCCTAAAAAAATCTCCAAAGACAACAAAGCGATCTTATGACTTTAAACACTTAAACACTTTTTTAGCCTTTATATACCCATTAGTGCATAAGCTCAAGCTCTAACTTACATTACGTGCCCTTTCTTATCAAAAATAATTTTGTTTATACTCGATGAAGTTTAATATAAAAAAAAATGGTTGAAAAAAAAAACATGACTAGTTGATGAGTTATTTTTTATCTTTTATGATATCAAATCATAAGTTCTCATCAAATATCTTAGCATCAAGAAATAAAAAGAATTGAGATATTTTAAGATAAGACTATCTTTTAGAATTTAATTTTTTAAAATATTTTCTACTCAGGCCTTTTCAACCTCTAAAATAGGCTTATCTTTTGACAATTTGCCTAAGACAATAATACCTTATGAAAATTGCAGCATAGCATTTGAAAGTCTCATTTTGGCTCTTAACCTATCAAATTAAATATCTCTATAAATAAAAGTACTTACAAACTGCTACACTTCGTAAACACCCATGACCATGATTGGTTCGGTGCTACTAACCTTAATCAAACTGCTACACTTTGAATTCGATGGCAAGACAGCTTTGAAAAAAAATCATACCCTCTATATGGCTCTAGGTACTATGCTTCATATCTTTGACACTCCAGATTTGGTGAGTGTGTTACCATGATTTTTTATTGATCGAATTGGGGATATTGTGTCTTTGAAAATTTTTTGTTATCTGTCTATGTTTGAGGAGAGAAGAGATTGGTGATTTTTAGGTGGATGATGAATATAGTGGGAGTTTTTTCAGGCCCCTGTGAGGGTCGATGTAGCTGGGGTTGAAGATGAAAAGGGCTAGGTTGTGGTTGAGGTCTTAGGAAGAATGCACACTAGGTGCTTATGCATTTTTCTATGAGAGGTGGCTACAGAGAAGGTGATGCAGTAGCAACTATTAGTGGGTTACCATGGTTTGAGAGCAGGGCTAAATGATGGGGATGCACAGTTGTTAGCAGTGATCCTCTAGTGGTTGACTTAGGGGAGAGGATGTGAGACTGTGGCTGTGTTGTTCTTATGGTTGGCAGGAAAGGCTACAATGGTGTTTGATGTCATTATGGGGTGATAGTGGGGAAAGAGGTCGTGGTCGCTTGGTGATAGGTTTGCCTGTGTGAAGTCAGATGTTATTGCACGTTGGAGGTTGCTGTGCTGCGAGAGTTGCACTTGAGCTTCGGCTAGAGTTGCTGCGTGTGATGGCTTGCTGCACGCACGAAGCTTGGCAGGAGTTGTAGGGTGCTTGATGGAGATGTTGGGGGCTAGATCTCCTTGGTATAGTGTTTGTGCTTATTTTGCAAGAGTTACTGGTGATGGGAAACTATAAAGATATGAGATGGTAGTGATGATGATTTTAGGAGGTATGCACACCAGGTGCTGGTGCTTTTGTCTGTGAGGGGTTGTTGCAAAGTTTTGTTTGTCCCCCTATATTTTCTTACTAGGTTTTAACTTTTGGGCAGTAAAAGGGGGAAGGATGAATCACATGGCAGAAGGAGTAGTTTAAAGTTAGATCAGGCCTTCAATAATCATCTAGGTGTTCTATTGGTCAGGTCTTAAATTATCATCCAGGTAATAGTACATCAATTCACCAAGTTAACACACAAAAAAGTGGTTGTCCTCTACGTTTTAGACGACGGAGGACATAGGTCATATAGACTATATATATTGCAACCTGGGAGAGACTTGCATTACAAGAATCTTAGGTTTGCATAATTTCAAATCTATTGATGCTCCATTTGAAAAGAGGCACATTCTTAGTGTTGGATATTAAAATTTCCCCCTCGTAGTATGATACATTAATCAACGAGCGTTTAAGCCAATTGATCGATTTTTGCAACTGGTAAAATCTTCTCTCTTTGCCTGCTTGTTTGCATAGTTTTGCCTGACCTCAAGTTTTGTATTCAATTCACTGACAGACAGCCTAATTTGCAAAAGAAGTTCGTAAAATCGTAGGCTTCCATATGAAATGGATAGAAAATAAGCTACTAACATGTAGTAGTTAAATGAATAAATCAGACTTACACTTGGGTGCATAAATCAAACCCATGCACACTGAAGTGCATAGAATATGATTAAGAAAACCTAGAAGATATACGACCGTAGCTGGTCATTCTCAATTATCTGGAGTTAGAGACTAGCGAGAGACATAAAAGAGAGTTAGTGCATTATGGAATTGGGTATCCCAACTTTCGCCTCTCTACTTTCAGGAGATATCCCTCCTAATTTGGCACCAGTTAAAGAATTCTGCGAGGAAAGAAGAAGTGCAGCTTCTAGATGGGGGATCAAGAAAGGCAATTTCCCATCAGGATTATAATAGAGATACTGAAGAATATTAGCAAGTAAAATGAACAAAACTTATATAAACAATGGAATGAGAGATTCATCCATCAATATCTTGCATGCTCTCCCCATATGCCCTGACAAGGCAAGTAACCCAAAAAATGATATGTATTCCCCAGCTGATTGTTCCTGCAGAGCTCCACTCGCTGTGCTAATGCAATTTTTGATGCGCTACTACTGGCTTGCTTTATATTATTCTAACCCTTCTCCACTTGAGTCAATCCTCCTCTATCTGCATGGAAATTAAATCAGAAAGAAATGGTCAGTGATGGAAATTAAAATACAGGAACAACAGATATCCAAAGTTTGTGCAGAATTATTAATTAGTGGAAAATTTCTGGATGAAAACCACAACATTAAAAGATTTAAACTTGGGACAAAGAAAAATGACTGACATGTACATCATATCTTAAAACTGATTGTTGACTATTCCAGCCAACATGTTCAACTCGTTTAACCAAAGCCAAAACCTTCACTGGCTTCATGAATGGCAAGCAGCAAGCGTTCTTGAAGCTGTTCCCTGGTTGCATACTCAGGAAGGTCTAGCTGATTGAAGCTTGAAAAAAGAAAAAATAACACAAACAGAATATTCCAATATCAGGAGCAAATTTTGGGCTTTCAAGTAACCAAAAACAGCTTAGAGCTTATAACTGAGCACGTATTGGTGTATTCTAGACTAACCATGTGTGAGCTGAAGGCAAACGCTCAGGAGCTCCATATGCTTTGTGAATCTGAAACTTTTGAGGACCAGAGATACCCTGCAATGCCTTGAAACCCTCTAATGGAACCTGAAAACTCATAAGTTAGTTTTTACTACATTCCAGCTAAGTTTAGATAGTCGAACTGCTAAAGCACTATAACATTGCCGAAGCCTAGATACCAACTCAACAAAAACATTATCATGCAAAATATACAATGAAGTAACCAATTTTTTATCTGTTAGAATACATATATAATAGCCAAGCATACAGTACAGCAAATCACCTTTGATGTTCCAGTGACGAACTGCAGCAGTCTGGCCATGTCTTCCTTGTTAAAACCTTTGACAACCTCCCAAAACCATTGAACAACGCTAGATGCTGAGGTATAGCCAGTATATTCAGTGTTGGCATTCAGATCATCCACTGCAACAGAAGTGCTATTGGTCAGGTAATTTTGAAGAAAAAAAAACCACATAAATTTAACAAGATAACAAGAAAGCAAACTCACAATCAATTTCAGGAAGTCCACTGATTAGTAGCTCAAGCTCTTTATCATTAAAAATGGAAATAAGTTCCCTTGGGACCAATTCGTTGAAACCTTCTAGGAATGAATTTATCTGAGGACGAATGGCATTTGTCAAGATATGATCAGCAACAAGGTCTACGTACTCATGCTTTGTTTCTTCAGTAACCCTTATATTTCTTCCTCCAGGTATAAGCTCGTAATCAGTAACCTTTTCAAGCAAAATAGCACTAATAAATGCAAGCTCAGGAACCAGATAAAACGTCGAAGACCATGTTCATGCCCAGGAAGAGTAACCCCTCCATAAAAGTAAGAATAGTAATAGTAATACAACATATCATAATGTTGCGAGTACCTGAGTTTTCTCATACAGAATGTGCTTTTCCTCGTCAGCATCCATGCTGAATGTCAAGTCTGGTATATCACTCACATCATTCTGTAACAAACGTGATACAGAAGAAGATATACTGTCATTCAAAGGGAAAAAACTTGCTCCACAGCAAAATGTGGAGAAAAGCACAGACGAATTCAGAAGGAAGGAGGGGGAGGAAGAAGACTAATTAAATTCACTAACCTCCAGCATCCACTTCAAATTCTTGTAATAATCAGGATCAACAGCCTCTATGTCATGATAAGTCACCTTTACACCAAGAATGTGCTTGTAGAAAGACCGAGTAAAGTAAACATCCAAAAGCTGCCCATCAAACAGTGCCTTGGCAACCTACACAAAAGCAATAAATTCAGAAATCAACCTAATCCAACAACAGTGGTAAATCTAGTTCGGAAAAACCAAGTTCTGAAGCATTACCACACGGCCCACAAACTTGAAGTAAGACAGATGTTCTGTCTGATAGACAGAATTAGGGTTTGGCTGAAAAGTCACATTATTCCCCACAGTTGTGAAAAGCAACGCTCCTTTGTCAAACACAACCCTTGAGAGCAGTTGATACCATTCTCTTGTCAAACCCCCAGCATCAATACCCTCTTCACCTTGGAACTGCACATTCAGTCTTCCCCTGAGATCCTGAGTAGGTCGCATCCTCAATTGATTGTATGAATCCTCCAAAACATACGCTCGCCGAACACTTACCCTCAGAGGACCAGAGAGGTGTTGATCATGCTGTTGCCTTATTCTGGAGCGGAAATATGCTCTCTTGTTATCAAAATCAATAAGTCTGGGAGCCTTGAGCATCATAGAAAGTGATTTCTCCAACAAGCCAGGATTCTGCCTTATAAAAGTATTCAAAAGCCGGCGGTGCTTCTCTGCAAATCTGGAAAATGTGACAGCACCATCAAGCTTTCTCTGAGAATCCCCAATGTATGCTGTGGTCGAGGAAGAACTACCAGAAGATTCTTTGACTTCTCTTGCAGTTATGCTCGCGTGATCTTGTTGCACAATGGATTGATTTGCCTGTAGCCTTTCACACAACACAAAGAAAGCTTCAATGAAAGGCAGGAGTCTCTGGGTTCCTGGAGGAAGAGGGGATGAAGAAGAACTCCCCTGTACATGCTCCCCTACATTTAAATTTGTTATAGTCGGACTAAAAGTGTTCTGAACAAGCTGTATCTCTGTCACACTAATACATTCGCTCAATTCTTGCCACAGTGGCTCAAGTGCAATACTTAAGTTCCACATGGTAGCTTGCTCCTCCTGCTCCCCAATGCGCTCCAGGTCCATATTCTCATCAACAGTGGGTGAGGTGGGTGAGGTGAGTGAGCTGAGTGCCAGTAGCACACGTAGTATTGCTGCCCCGGCCATGGAGCCAGCACTTAGACCCAACATGTGTGTGTTCCTCAAGGTAACAAGCTCATTGACGGCTGAACTGCTCAACCCATGAGCTAATTCTGAAAGCTCCGAAGTAAAGAATTTACGATGGGTTGAAACAACTGAGGCCAACTTCTTAAGCACTTCTCCAGCTAGCATGTACACTTTATCTGACAGCCTGAAGTCAATCAGTGTAACAGATTAGTGATTCATTGTCAAATTAAGAAACAGATAAATAGATAAATGAATGGCCAATCGCTAATGATGGATTGACTAAAAGAGTTGACCGATATGACAGAACTTTCAAATGTATAAGAATGAAAGCCCAAAAGTACCCTTCATGACCAAGAAGACTGCACAAATTACGCAAATCAGGTTGTGGCAACTGCAAGAAAACACTGCATGCATCAATGCTCCTCTTTCCATCAGAAATGGATAACCCAGCACTGGCAGCTTTGTCCTCTTGACTTGACTCTGCTACCAACGGCAGAACACTTTGAACATCACCAGGTGCTTCACCAACAGTTCGTTTTTGGGAAGGCTCCCTTGCCTGTCCAGATTGAACCTTGCTCTCTAATTTTGATGCTGCCGTAAAAACTACCACTTGAAGCAATCCCATGACCTGCACCATTAAAAAAAAAAACAAAATATTGTCTCAAGCATGCATTCAAGAACATATTAGAAAAAAGATCGAGATTGTACTACAAATACAGGGAAAATATACACAGCAAAATATGAGCCGAACTGCTAAATACACAGAATTGGACAGAAAGGTATGAGATGTAAAACTACTTCAGAACGATTGCTCATACCTGCTCAAGATGAGCAGTACTGCGTAGAAAAAGTGGTCGATTCAAAAGCTTCAGGAACAGGATCAAAGGAACATCATCAGTGTCTCCCAGAGGTTTTAATGAATCACCTCCATCATTAATTTTCTCCTTGCCTTTATCCATCTTGGTTTCAAGATATTTTGGACTTCGAGGCTCCGGAACAATTGAGGGATCCAAATAGAACAACATATCGGCAATAGAAGAATGATTTGCAGACAAATAGGTCAAGATTTCCAGAATTCGACGCAGCACCAGGGGAGGAAGACCTGTTAAGCAATCAATCAAATTTAATAATTTAAAACAAAAGTCAATAAGAAAATTATGATTACAACAGATAGCAAAAAGAAATACCATCCAACAACTGCGATCGACCATAAACAACATTTGACTGACAGCCATAAAGCCTCTGGGAGTTAATTGTTGCCAATCCACTGACTGACCCTTCTGCCTCAGGTTTAATCATAGCGAGCAAAAGACGAACTAAAGTTGCCCTTGTAGTACTATGTGCACAAAGGTTTAACAACAGTCTCTGCAGAAGGCCTTTCCCAAGGGGCTAACATCATAAAAATAATAAAAAATCACCAGGTTAGTAGAACATCATGATGCTATAGAGAAATGTCACGACTACATATACTGTAAGATCATTATCCAGAGAGAACATTCAAAAAAAATTTAAAAATAAAAGATTTGGCATTCTGTACTGGGAAACAATAGACATTCTCATACATAAATTCTTTAGATTTTACATGACGTCCAAGAGCCCTAAGAGCAAACATTTTATAACCAACAAACAGAAAGAGAGAGTGATTCCTGAGAAATGCAAGGCATCTATGGAAAAGAGAAAATTATCCTTAATGTTACAGGACCTTCTGTGCAAAACAACAAAGAAAGTCAAAACCTATCAAGCTACTCAGTACTTACAATTCAGCCCAGCTCACAGGGCAAAAAAGAAAACCTAGTATGGCATTTATCCCAACATAATAAAACCTTTAACTCTTTGAAAGCTCTTAACATAGAAACTGGTGAATCCTCAAATTAAAATGCTCATCTACTTCTATCCCTCCAAATCAACCAAAAACTGAATACAGGGAAGCAAAGACCAAAGATTCATCTTTTCTCACAAGAAGCCATTCATTGCCAGAACACTGAACTGGGGAAACTGCACAAGTATGCAGGTCATGCACAAACTCTCAATATTGTAAGCCATACGTAATAAAACGGGCTCATACAAGTTACTACTCGGGGTCTATTTGAAGTTTAATGTTGAATGATGTATGAATTATCCTAGAACAACATTGTAAAATGATTGTTTGTTAAGTTATTGATCATGAAGAATGAATTGATGTAGGATCACAGAAACAGAAGTCTACAATTGCTTGAAAAGATTAATTCAGTCATCATTTTTATGAATATCTCTGGATGCAGAACCAGACTACTAATCTTCTAGAATTAATCAAAAACTAAATTTAGAATTAATCACAACTACAAATCAAATGATTCTAAGACATTTTGCCTAGTTAAAAGAACACAACATGGAAGTTTATCTATTCCCAAAGAGCAAGAATGCAAGATAGTTCCCAGTGAAACATAATATGTATAGATCACGAATTACCTGTGCCAACCTAAGAAGGCGGATCAAAGCTCTCAATGCATTTGCATCCAAAAGTGGCTCGCCTTCAATTTCCTTCACCTTCATGCTATCTGAAATAGTAGAAGTGGCCCTCCGTCCAATTGTAACTCCAACCCCCCTATCCATCACTGTCTGCCTATCAAACCCCAAACCACTTCTATGACTACTTAACCTGTGACTGCTACCAAACAGGCTGCGTGCCTGATAGTGACTCATTGCTCGGTCCCTTAGCATTTGGGCTTCAGCAAGTAATGGAGAAGGTAATGCTGATAATACAGCTTCTGAAGAAGTCAAAAGCACCTGGAACAAAAGCAACCACAAAAGGGTTATCATAACTCAAAATAAAATAGAAGGCCAAGTCAAAAAACACAAACCTCTTCTCGCAACTCATTAGGAAAAGTAGCAATTATTGAAGCATTATCCATGTCAACAGGCTGTCCTTCAGCCTGCTGTGCAATCCGCTGTGCCCTTTGCTGTGCCAAAACCTCCGCTTGGATGTCTGGAGGAAGGGCAGCCAAAAATTCAGGATCAATATCATCAACAGAGGGCGGTGCATAAGTTGGAGGTTGAACAGACTGAGCCTGCTGGGAAGCTAAAACTTCTGCTCGTAAATCTTCAGGTAATGCCTCCAGGAAGGTTGGATCAATTGTGTTTGTAGCAGGAGCCTCATTATTAGTACTAGTTTGATCAGCTTGAGTAGCATCCCGGGCAACCAATGTCTCTTGCCTGAACGATGGCTCATCGACTCCTTGTTCAGAAGCAGGCATGGATTGCCCAGACAGATTTTCTTCAGCATCAGCACCATTCATTTCAACATCAGCATTCACATGATCCACATTAGGCATCACTGAAACAGAATCAACAAACAGAGAATTATTGGACTGGCCATCAGCTGAGGATCCCACAGCCTGAACAGGCACATCATGGAGAATTGCAGGTACTTCGGAGGCCCCTTCACGATGCAAAGCAGCATGATGTTCTGCAGATGAGTTGACAAGCTCTGGCATTGTCTCAACTTGATCACATGCAGTGCCATCACCATCTCCAATTTCCATGCTATCAAGACCATTTGGTGTACTGTTCAGAGAAATTGGTTGAACTAACATAGGCTCATCCACCTGTAGACCTTCACCTGCACCATTGAATGAAGAACGAGGATCAACCTGCTCGTTGCAAGGAACACTTTCAACAGTTGGATTGGGTGGATAGTGGATAACTTCATTGCCATTTTCTTGCTGAACTTCAGTTTGCTGACTGCTAGTGTTATCACCATCCACCACTACTTGACCATCATTGGATAGAGGATCATCAGATGGTTGATTGTCCTGCACTCCTGAATTCTGGGACTGCCTCTCAGTGGGAGCATTGGTTGTAGGTACACTGCACAGCTGCGACAGGAACTGTTCCTCTATTGCTTGTGCGATTGCAGCAGCTTGGCCACCTGCTTGCGGCTGACCATCATCAGTCCACCTGCCATCACCAGGCCCTCTTCGTCCTTGTGTATGCAACGAGTCCATACCTACAGAATAATCAGACAAAGGTGGGGGTGCTGCAGTACCCGAACGATCACCAAATATACTACTAGGTACATGTTCATATGGAAGAACAGGAGCATCAAACATGTAAAAATGAGCTACATCAAAGCTCCCAGATGACAAAGCTTCTAAATCCCTGGATGAATGCCCACCTGATGACCACATAGAAACCAGATCCCCTGACTGGGATGGCCTTGAAAGAAGAGGATGTTGAAATCCATTTACTTCTGGGACAGGCCGCTCAAAGGAAGACCTGCCACTCTGACGCCGGCGGTCAAAACCCAAAGGCCTGCGAAGACCAAAAAGATCATCCACATTCACCCCTTCAAATGGCTCAGCAGCAACATCAATTAGACCACTTGAAGCTCCAGGCTGACCCAGTACCTGCAAATGATCTAACCCATCAAGGGCCTCCCTCCACCTTACCTCTATAACACGATTCTCATGAAAATCATCATCTTCTTCGTCAATCATCTCATCATTATAGTCATCTCCCAAGCCAGTATCATCATGGTCTTCCACATCAGTGTCAGCAAGAGACATCATACCAGCACCATCTTCAGCAATATCCTCATCCTCATCCTCGCCCTCATCATCATCCTCATCCTCCTCACCATCATCTCCCATGTCATCGTCCTCATCACCCATATCATCATCAGCCCTGTTCTCCACATGAAAAGTCATCTCAATTTGGTCAGTGTTGTGTAACCCACCACCTTCTTCCATTTCTTCACGCATGAAATCCATTCCTATCTCCATTGATGGGTTGGTTGCCATTGTATCTTCCGATTCGATCCTCATGTTTTGCTCTGCTGACTGATTTTGCTGTGCAGCATGACTACCCTCAACATGAGGAGTTCCTTGCTGTTGCTGAATGTCAGTCTCCTCCTCATCTGGGACTTCCTGCGTGCCACCAATACCCTGATTATGCTCTATGGTCTCTGCAGCGGATGCAGCTGTCTGTTCATCGTGTCTCTCACTTGACCCTGTAGTTTTCTTCTTGTTCAGACCCTCAGATTTAATAACTTGCTCGCTAGCATTGGCAACCCTTGACAGGCTTTCCAAAGCCTTCAATAGAAGATTAACAATTTTAGGCGCATCAGGATGGTCCAAATCAATCACTTGAAGAATGCCAGTAAGAGACTGCACCATTCCTCCATCTATCATGCTTTTTGCTATATCCGGTGAGCATCCAGAACCAGGTAAGTGGCTGGAGGATGCATTTTTAGACAAAATTGAATATACCAGATCAGAAAAAGCAAAAACCTTTTTATCAGGCAACAAAATGTTTTTATGTGAATTGCTCTCCAAGTTTGAAAATGAAGACAAAGCTTTCACAAGTTCATTAATTACTCGCCTCCGCCCTTCACCAGATCGACCACACAAAACCACAAGGAACCAAGAAGCTTTTTCAGACAATTTGTCTCTCCATTCATTAGGTCCTGCCGATTTATCTGTAGATATTGGAAGCAGCTGATGTAAGACATGATGAATTATCCCACCATGCCCAGAACTATCTGTTTGAATAGATGCCCGCTGATGACACAATTCCAAGTCTCGTCTCAGTATGACTCCGACTGCATGCACATACATAAGCAGAATATCGCTCAACAACTTGAGAACAAAAGTCACCTTAGCCAGTCCAGCAGATCTTTCAGATTCAGACTCCATTTTCTTTGCCTCGTCAACCTTGGATTTTCCCTTTAACTTGGTAGCAGGTTCATCCACATCCATAGAATTTAAGTCACCAACACAACCTTCCCGGCTTCTTGGCAAAGGGTATTTCAGAACTATATCAAGAAGCTGATCAATTACTTGAGTAAGATTGGCTGGAATCTTTTTATGGCTTTTGGCACATTTACCTGAACCATCATGCATCTTATTTTCAGAAATCCGGACAGATTCTTCAGCACCTGAAGCTTTTGATTTGTCCTTTTCCTTCTCTTTTTCCTTTGATAACACCACAAAAGTCCTCCCTCCTGATAACTCCAACTGACAAACTGCAGCAGCAGCTTTCATAAAAACCACAGGATCTCTGGAGATAACAGGTGCCATAGATGTCAAAAATGTCCTTGGGGAGATACGCCCAGCATGGCGATTTCCGCTCAAAGTTTGCCGTATCTCCAATTCCATAGCAGTTTGCAGAGTTTGAGGATCTTCAAGGAGGTGCCGAATTATGGCAGCTGCAACAGTGTCATATCCAGGGAAGAAGCAACTTCTTCGAAGACTAAAGAGAGCAGCTAACCCTCCGTTTTCAAGAAATTGCAAGGCTAAAACGTGAGTTTTTGTCAAGCGAGCACACAACTGCATAATAGCCTGCATGATCACAGCAGGGACGTGCTGTTTCATCAAGTCACAAGCAACAAGTAGTACTTTATGACTCTCTTCAATAGTCAGGTAACCAGTTGACTTCCCCAATATTTTCTCAAGTGCTGCACCAGATTCTTTCTCAGGAAAGTCTGAAGCCACTTTTTCATCCATACCTGATGCCAGAACTGATGCATCAGGTGGAGATGCAGTCTGGGTTCCTCCCACAGATTCAGAAGAGATTCTGGGCCTGGATTGCAACATGTTATCCAAGATGAGCAGTAAAGCACTTATGCATTTTGGTACAAGAATTTCACTCCCTGATGCATTTCTAGCCTTGAAATTCATCAAAACATCTGTTGCAGCGGCAACAATACCATTCTGTGCAGCAATTTCTCGAACAGTTCCATCCTCAAAAAGAAGCAATGCTAAAATATGTGATATCATACACAATGCACTGGAATCCTTGGAAAAATCCAACGGGCAAAGCTTTAGCTGCTCAATAAGATAAGATGCCACCTTTAGACGGTCCTCTCCTTTGTTCCGATTGCAAAGGGTCAAAAGCAAATCTGTCAATGAGAATGCCATCTTATCACTACTCTGAAACAACTTCACAGATGCAGCAAGAATATCTTCGGCAGGAGGCACCTTCATTTGTCCACCTTCTGTCAGGGCATCTATTGGCTTATCCACATTGTCAACTTTCGATCCTTCTGATGAACTTCCTAGTGACAGCGCAAGTGCCCGAGCCAACTCATCATCCTCCTGCACAGGATCCTCAGCATGACTGAACAGCCACTCCATTGCCATTTCAACACTATTTGTTTCCACCCGTCTCAATGCCTCTTCAGCTCTTGCCCTTGTAAAGCCCATCTCAACAATTGTTGCAATTGTATTTTCATCAGGCGGTGGGGGCATGAACCTTTGGTTCGTAGTTCCTGTAACACCACTGCGATTCCTTTTGACATCTCCAACACCAGAGTATATGTGTGTAACAAGTGATATAATAGAAGCAATGAAACTAGTACTGCAACTTGGAAACATCGGGTGGTTCCAGACAGGTAATATGACATCCAGGACCTGAGACTGCAGCATGCGAACAAAGACTTCAGGGTCCTTAGGAACAGGAAATAGCCCAATTGACAAACCAACTGCAACAGGCTGAACAAGTAGCTGAGCTTGGGATGCAGAGGTTGAAGATAAAAGTAAAGAGGAGTTTACGAAATACTCGAGCACGCGGCAGTAGCTGTGTAAAGTGTCAAGTAGCCATGTACTGTGAGACAAATTATTTCCTTCACCTGCCTTCTCATGGTCAACTGAGGGTGTGGGAAAAGGGTAAGGGAGCGTCCATAAAAGTTGACTTGTAGCTTCAAATGTAGTGAGAAGCTCCCTAAAGGTTCCATGTACATAAAGATTATTGACCATTGCTGCATAACAAGTGCGCCTCCTGCTGTCAAATATGAGTGCTGCCATGTCATCAACTACCTTTCCAAGATATCGGCACTTAACTGACAGTGATGTATCAAGTCCAGTTGTAGAATACCCAGAGAAACTGAGAGCCTCAAGAAATATTTTAGCCAAGGTGGTTCCCAGGGTCTTTGAAGCTGCACTCGACGATCCTACATCAGCCCTTCGACGGTTTGGTGACGTAAATCCCTTCACAAGGGCAGAGAAGAAAGAACGTAATATGGAAGCCAGCTTGTTCAGAACCTCATCAGGAGTTCTCCTTTTCAACTTTGGCAAAGATGTCTCAGGTTCATCTGATGGGATCTCAGAGTCAACACTTAAAGCATCCAGGTGCCGACCAGTCCTCCCACCGCGTATGCGTGCCAAGCCATGTCGACTACGACGGTGCAAACCTTCACCTGAACGAATGACTGAGAGAAATTCACGTTCACCACTCCAAAGGGACTGAGAACCATTCCTAACAGAAACTGGGTTCATGTATCTCACAACTGGAACATTTGCATCATCATCACTCTCTCTTCCAACAGCATTTGATGAAGACGCATCTGCACTCTCAGTCTCCGGTTCTGCATTTCTCTTTTCATCCACTTTGGAGTCATTATACAGAGAAACTTGCCAAATTATTTCCCGGTACACCTTCCCAAGATCCTTTAACACATCAGCATCCGCAGTGCCCAATTCTGAGACAACAGTACTATTCCCCTTCAACAAAAAATTGGAGAGAGAAAGTATACCTTCAAGGCTGGAAAGATATCTCAGGACCTTAGATTGCTTAGCAGATTCAACCACAGCAAGATGAGTCCCTCCAACTGAAACTAATAGTTCATTTGTTGACTTCAGATGTTCTTTCAGGAACGCACATACTGCCCTAGCCAAGGAAGCAGAATGCTGCGGTGAGAAATTCTTAAACGCAACAGATATGATCTGACCAATTGGTGTTGAAAGTGGCATTAAAGGCAAAGTAAATAACTGCAAAACAGCATCAATTCCCTTCTTCTCAACAAATATACGACATGTGTCAGAATTCTGAAGAATTGTTTCAAGAAGACGAGCAACATTGCTTAAACATTCAGGAAACAGGGACTCAACATTTGCCACCGAGGCATCAGATGACTGCTCAGTGGTCTGCTCCAAGGTCTCCATCCTGAAAGATTCCCTATCGTCTGACTGAAGCAGGCTCCTTTCTTCAGCATCGGTTTCCATTGGAACAGGAGCAGAGCAGGATGGATCAGCAGGCGAGCAAGTAGCATCAACCCCAGACCCAATTTTGGAAATGGCATTTAAGATCTCAATCACCATATCCACTCCAGGTCCTCGTAATGAGGAAGCATGACGCATGAGTTCATCCAGTCCACTAGACAGAGACCCTGGTGCCTCACCAAAAAGGGCACGCAAATATGTTTTAGATGTAAATATTTTCACAAAGCACCTTAGAGCATTTCGATCTCTTACAGCCTGAAGACCATTATTATTCAGGCACAGGGCGTCCAAACACTGAGGTATGCACATTATGGCTTCTGAAGAGCATAGAACACCATCCATTATAGCATCCAAAAATGCAGAAGGAAGACCAGCTGCATCTAATATGGGAAAACAGGTAGGATCTTTGTGGATTAGATCACTCATGACAGTTGCTGCAAGTGAAAACACCCCACCACCAAAATCTTTTGCTCTTCTAAAGATTATGCATAGGCATTGGGGCAACAAACTCTCCTCAGATCCATAAATACGAGAAGTGTTCCCAGAAGCATATGTTCCAAGGGATATAGCCCGTAGTAAAGCTTTCATCAGTAAACGTCGATGATATGCAACTAATGCTTCCGAATACAGCGGGAGCATACTATCTAGCTCTGAGGAAGCACTTGCAGCTACTACCAAATTCCCTGCCCTTGAATCAGAATCTTCACCTTGTTGCTTTGAACAATTTTCTACATGAGACACTTCTACCTTCAGTCGAGAGATAGTATCATCCAAACCACCCAACTCTCTGAATAATGCAGCAGCAGGATTGCTGTAATCCATGAATGCCTCTAGAATATGGACAGCTGTGGCTACCAAATGCAAATGCTGAGGGTCTGTATCCTTGAGGAGGGGTAGAAGAGTAGGAATAAACCCTGCCTCCCGCATGGCTGAGCAACCTGATGATGATGAGACGAGAACAGTAACAAGAGATAGGAGAGCCTCAGCAAAAACAACAGACCACTTTGATGTATCACTGATAACAGAATCAATGGCTTTCTGCATGAGGCTGGACAGGATGCCACGGTGACCACCAGATGTGACAGCAGCCAAGACAGTTGATTGGCGAGGCCGATCTTGAGAAAGAGCGACCAATGATGACAGACAAAGAATTCGGATTTTCTCAGGGACTTCATCTTCATGGCTCAAAAGTGAAACTAATTCATTGACGAACTCAGGCTCAGAGTTGAAGAAAGAAACTAGATCATCAGCATCACTGCTTGCTTGAACGAGAACAATGAAAGCATACAAACGAATGCATGTGTACTGCTGTCGAGAAGCCAATGAGCCAAAAGCCTTAGCAAACCGCAATCTCGTCAATAAAGAAAATCTTAAGCTGGGAGGTACTTTATACTCTACAACTAACTTATTCAAAAGCTCTAAATCTGTCTCTGGGCAAGCATCGACATTAGGTAGATGAATAATTTGTAAACCATGAGTTGACTGTTCGGTGGCATTGAACTGACTTGAAGACTGGTCCAATGCATAGAACTCAAAATGAAGGGTGCAGCCTAACTCGTAAGCAACAGGGTCGCACCCATTTTGTGCAGTAGATGCAATCAATCCCAGACCCTCATCCTTTCCACCCCAGCCTTGTGCAAGAGAAAACAACTTTGTATTCAAAGACGTATCTCTAATGGAATATCTTCCGAGAGTCTTCTTCAAAAAAGCTGCCAGAGTCTGCAGGCAAGCCTCTAGCACGTCCGCATCAGTTGAAGCAAGAAGGTTAGAAAGATGCTGCTGCCATAACAGAGGAATAGAGAACAAAAACCTTTAGGAATGCGAGGGTGAAAAAAGACAAAGGTCATAGAAGTACTTAAAACATGATCATACAGAAGTTTATCACCACTAACAGCATATGCAACAGATACTGCATGAAGACTACAACCTAACTGACAAAACAGAAGTAATACCAATTGCCCAGATACTAAACACAGGATGCATTTTGGATAGGAACAACAATACCTCATAAGAACTATAAAAGTGCTTATTTGTGCAGTTCTCTAAAATTATTCTGATAACACGAAGAATTTGAAGAACAGCTTCTCTTGGAAAGGGAGGATCAGATTCCAAAAAGTTGTCCTCAACCTGCAAGTCTTTTCTTGACTTTATATGTTTCTCAAAATATGAATCGAAATGATTAAAAAGATCAACCCAATGATGAAAATCTCCCTGCATCAGCATGAAATACAATTAAATCAAACCACACATAAATCGGCATAAAAGCAACCCTTATACTTTGTACAATAAAGGGTGTAAAGTTACCTTATCGAACTCCCAAACAAAACCTTTTAGGGGTTCTTCTATGTTCTCAAGCGGAGTAGTAGTAACACTATTGATGAAGGACTTAATTTTGGGAGGCTGATACAAATCAAAGGACACAAAGTTATTTAACAGCTTGAAAATGAAAATGTAAGGAGATAAAGGAAGCTGGACTTGCAAACCAATAAATTTCCTTTTTCATACAAGAGAGACGGAATCCTCTAAAAAGAAGCACTTCAAATTCAGCAACCCCATACAGTTAGTAAACAGATTTTAGTGGTCAACACTTCATCATAAATTCATAATGGTGGTACATATAGGGATATGACTCCACTGCTGAAGGGAATACACATTTTAAAAGATTTAACTCGAAAGAATACTCCAACTGTCATATTCTAACACTATTATCCACCTTCCTCATATAAATCTTCTACCACTAACTCATCTTTCCAGACTAAAATGATTATGACAAAAAAAAAAAAAAAAAATTGCTCAAAATTTTGAAAAAAAAAAAAGTGAGTCTTAAGTTCAACTGCAAGGAACATACAGAAGTCCACCATCTTAGTAGTTACCCACATTTAATCACAAAAGCACTCGGTCACAAACTTTGCCCATTTAAATTTGCTTTTAAAGTAACAAACTTCCTTCTTGCTGATTGTGAGTTCTTTTTTTTTTTTTTTTAACAAATTCAAAACTTAAAATGAGGAAAAACAAAGCAAATTGAGTTCCTCACCTATATCCACCATTAAAGGCTGAACCCACTTTCAAATAATAATAAGCAAACGAACAAAAACCAACACACAGGCATTGGTAGAAAGGAAAGTCCCTCAAACAATTTCCATCATTACCCAAAATCGTAACATAAAATTCTACTGCTTAGAAGCCAGAAACTCTCAAGTGAAGTCCTGACTAATCAGTAGCATCGCAACCATAATTAAACTCTATAAAAAAAATTCAAATTAAAACAAAAATAGACAAAAAGAAAAAGAGATAAATCAATAAAATAAATAGTGAAAAAAAAAACTGACTGACCACTTCTGTAGACCTCCTTCTCTTAAGCTTCGTCATGATTCAAACAAGCATTTGCACGAAGCGACCGATCAAGAATTGATCAATTCTCTATAATCGAGAATCGATCGAGCAGCTTTCTCCAAAATTAAGGGGGGAAAAGCTAGGGCTGCCTTCTATTCATTCACAATTCACAATGATCGGATCCCAAAACTATAAAGAGAGAGATTAATAGATTAATTTTGAGAATGAAATTGAGTTTCTGATTGAAAATTAGGGTTTTATGTGTGATCGGATGTGTATAGAATTTACAATCCTTATCACTCGAGAAAGAGAGAGAGGGTTTGAGGTTTTTATATAGAGAAAAAGAGAGAAGTTGAGAAGGATACTCACTAGGAGAAGAAAGCTAAAAAGCAAAGGAGAGTGTTGCTTTCTGTTTTCTTCTTTTTTTAATTTTTATTTTTAATTTTTAATTAAAGAGTTTTTTTTTTCATTTTTAATTTGGTTTTATAATCAATTCATTAAATAACATGAGAAATGACTTTTATCAGAAGTGATATATATATATATATCTTTTGTGAGGTTAAAATAGAGTTAGCATTTGGTATTAGATTAATTTGGGTTAATTATATATAGATACAAAATGTAATTTCATATGTTTTTTATGAACTTCAATTTCACCGCAAAAATTCAGTTGAGTATTTTGGATGGGAACGTGGACATGTTATTGCTACAATAATTGGTTGTGTAAATAATTGACATGCATACAAAAGAGATGATAGGAAAGGATAAATTTGCCTCCTAAATTATCATTTATGTTCCAATTGGGTCATCTACCTAATCAAATTTTGATCAATCAACCTTTGTCATGATTTATAATTAGCAATTCATTAAATAGTGAAAGACATTTAGTTATAATAAGGTAACTCTTCCAACAATTTTTTATACAAAATTTGTGCTTGTAAAATCTTTTTGGTGACAAATGGATGCATTTGAAAGTTTAAATCACATCGCATAATCCTATAAATCTTACGGATGAGCTTTTGATGCAAAAATAATTATAAGCCCAACTTTTGCATCAAAATTTAGCTGGAACAGTGGTTTTACATGCCTATCAAATGTCTATTTAACAATTGCTAATTATTGATCATCAAATTATATTGGTTGATCAAAATTTGATGAGATGAAAATTTAATGGAGGCAATCAATAGATGGAGACCTAATTGAGACAAAGTTGATAATTTAAAGGCAAATTTGTCTTTTCTCCAAATAAATAGTATCACTTTCATATTCCATTTTCTAAAAAATAGAGAGAGCAGTCTAAAGAATAAAACCTAAAAATGAATTTAGTTTTTTATATAGTTGCATGCTATTCTATCAAAAAAGAATTAAACTTTTTATAGTTTTTTCTTAGCGGTGAAGTACTTTCATTCTTAAAAAAAAAATTCTTTTAAATACTTTAAAAATTAAACTTTTTGTTGCTGGTTGGTGACTACTCTTTTTTTTTTTCATGAAGTAAAAATTCATTTATCAAAATTGAGTTTGATTTTAGTGCATTTTAAGTAGATCATCTATTTTCGTAACCCAAAATTTTGGGGTAGAGCTTGTTTTATTGTTTAGTTTGATAAATATTTGATTTTTATTATTTTTATTAGTTTTTTAAAAAATTAATTAAATTAAAAATTAGAAAAAAAAAGAAAGAAAGAAAGAAAGAAAGAAAAGTCAAAACAAAAAATGAAAAAAAATGATGAAAGAAAATTGATCAATTTTTTTTAGGATCTAATTATAATTTATTTCAGAATATTATGGGCCAATTTACAAATACCAGAAGATGAGGAAAATCATTGAAGGAAATTAAGGAGGGGTTAATAACAATTGCAAGTAAAGGGATCCAACTAATTATTGCTAAGGGTTTAATTACAGGAAATGGAAATACGAAGGGACTGATTTGAAACGCTGTGGAGGAGGACAGGATGAACTTGGCAATTTAGCAACGGACGACTTGTCGTCCACCAGCGAATTTGTTGATACTTTTTACTGCTCCTCTTCTTTCCGTTTAAAGAAAGAGGAACAGTGGCACGCGAGCTCTGTCACCATTTTGTAACAGAGTTGTCCTTCCTCCAAAAAAAACAAACGCACCAAGCACTAGTCCCCCCAATCTCCAACTCAGTATGTACATTCCTCGCTTTGAGCTGCAAGCCACGCTGCTGCAAGAAGAGTGACAGAGGCCAGCTTGTCACTTGTACCATGGCATCAAATGGCCAGCGAGAGAGAGAAAAAGCTGAAGGGCTAGGATGAGAGAGGCAGGTATAAATAGGAAACTTTAGGGTTGCAAAAAAAAAATAGAGAGGGTAAAGACAAGAAAACGGAGGAGAGGCAGCAATAAAGAATAAAGGGAAAAAAACAAAGAGCGCAAAAAAAAAAAAAAAAAAAATACAAAAGAGAGCAGACGAAAGAAACAAAAAAAAAAAAAAAAAGCAAGAAAAAGGAGTCAGTAGCTAGAAGGAGTGGGAAAGAAAAGAGAGAAAGGAAAACGCGAGGAGGAACCAAAAACAAAGGACGGTCAGTTGGAGTCAGCTCAATAATTTCTTCTCCATTCGATTTCGTTTTCAATCTTTATCCTCATTCAAACTCAACAGGTAACTTCCTAACCCGTTTTTATTCTTGCTCTCATACACCTGCATGTCTTAGATTTCTTGAGCTTGTCACTATTATTGTGTGTTATTTCGAAACTGCGAACGTTACTCTCCGTTTTCAGGCAACGATGCATGAAAGATAACGCAGGATTTATGGGGGACTTTGGATTTTGGGAAGGATTTTCGTTTGTTCAAGTTGAGAGGAAGAAAAAAAAAAGGGGGGATGAATGATGAATATAAAAAATAGGAGCAGTAGACGTGTTTGATCGAAATAGAAATAGAAAAAAAATAGTTGTTGTCTGTGGGCTTTAGTCCAAAGAAATAACGATTGAGTTGGTCTTAATCCAGCCCAGTCCAAAATAACGTGGGTTGGGCCTAGCCCAGCCCGAAGAAAACAATAATAAAGGCTGGACTAACCCAGCCATAGGGAAAAGGATGAATTGTCATGCCCTTTGAGCTTAATCCAGTGGGTCAAGTCCAACGGGCCCATTGCCCGAAAAAAAAAAAAAAGAAATGCTTTTGTTTGTTTTATTGTATTTATTTATGTATTTATTTCATCTTAGATAATTTATCTTAAATGTTTACTTATGTATTTTTTTTTTAATTTTAGATTTTAGTATCTTAGTTTTCATGAAATTTTATTTAGTTAATTTTAACTAATTTAGCTTTAGAATTTTATTTCCACGATTAGGCTAGATAAATAAAAAAATAGGTGAATGAATTGTCGAGTCTCCTAATTTTTAGGGACCGATGACGATTCTTTATCAACCAAAAAAATAAAAAAATGTAAAATACAAATATTTTTAATTAGTTTAGATAATCCACAATAGATGAATTATCAAGTCTCCTAATTGTTAGGGATCGATGATGATTCTCCACCGATAAAAAAAAATCAAAAATCAAAAGATTAAAAAAAAAAAAAAAGAGGAATGCTAATAATTAATTCTTTTATTAGGATTTTGTTTCAAAAATTAGTTAGTGGTTAATATGTAGGTGAATTGTCGAGTCTTTTAAATTCTAGGGATCGATGACGGTTTTTCTCGAAATGTCAATAATTAGATGAATAGCCAATAGATAGGTGAATCGTTGAGTCTCCTAAATTCTTACGGATCGATGATGGTTTCTTTTCAAAATGTCGATAATTAGTTTAAATAACAAAGAGGTGAGTGAATTGTCGAGTCTCCTAATGTTTTAGGGACCGATGATAATTTCCCCTCAAAATGTTAATGATTAGACTAATAGTTAATAAATGAATGAATTTTTGAGTCTCTAGAATTCTTAGGGACTCATGATGATTACTGCCATCGAATGATAAGTCTTTAACATTTAAATTGGCTCAAAAAATTAGAGTTTAAATAAAAAATAACTAAGCACAAATAAAAGATTTAGGGAGATGAATTTAAGACTAAATTAGACGTGGTACTTTTCTTAGGAAATGGCTTTTTTTGGTGACCGTTGTCTTCCCAAAACGTAACCAACTCCTTACCTTAAAATCTCTACATCAATGCTAGTTTAGGTTCCTAGGTCCTCTAATACTAGGTGGCAACTCCAAACTCAATAATAACTCGCATTCACGAAATCCACGCAAACGAGATGCACATCTTTGAAAACCTAGTAGAATTTTTTGAGAGTCTCATCCGACGTCATATAACGACATCTATAATAACATTCATTCATTCATAAAAGAAATTATTTTCGTACAAATTTTCTACGCATCACCTCACAAATGAAGACAATCGCATGACATGAAGTTTTGTTTAAAAAAAAAAAACTATGAGCATTGATTATTTCTTAACTTGTTTAAAAATAAAAATGATAATAATAAAATAATTTTTTTTTAACTTTTCTTTTATTATTTTCTTAAAGTTTGCCTCTTTGCAATTTTCTTTTCAAAATTAATGTCTTATTAAATTTAATAACAAAATGTATGAAAGTCACTCTTAACATTATCAATAAGATTAAATATCATATGAAAAAAAAACTAAAACATATGAGCGGTTTATTATTTATACACTCGTTCATTTTGACACAACAATATTATAGATGCACTCTCGGTTCTCCTGTACGTCTCTTCTCATTGCTTCTCCACCTCTCGATCGTTCCTCTCCGTTACTTGCCCGTTTTTTTACCTTTCATTCCTTTGTCAATCTCTTGCCCTTTTGTTATGTGTCTATCTTCAATGAATGCCATTGTCTTTTTTCTCACCTTTTCTATATTATTCTTTTTTGTTTTCTTTTCTCTTTTTTTCTATCTAATTTTCCTTCCCTTCTTCTCTGCATCCCCTAATTGCTCTTTCTCGATCTCGGGTCGGCATTTAATGTAGTTCATTCCTATCATTTATGTCTTCTTTTTAATGTATTACATTTTCATTTCCATCATTTCCTCTTTGTTATCGCGTCCTCTTGCTCGTCATGGGTGGCCTAG